GGCACTTACGAATAAAGCTCCTAGAAGCATTTGTGTGCAGGGTCTTGTGTGCCTATACAAAGTGAGTTTTCAGCTTATTTAGACAAATACTTAGGAGAGTGATTGCTGGATTAGTGTGGTAAGACTATGTTTTATACACAACCACCAAACTGTCTTGCAGAGCAGCTGCGCCATTTTGCATTCTCACCAGCAGTGAGTGAAAGTCCCTGTGGCTCCACATCCTCACCAGCATTTGATGGTGTCAGTGTTTTGAGTTTCAGCCATTCTAATGGGTGTGTTGTGGTAGCTTATTGTTGTTGTTTTAATTAGTAATTCCCTAGTGTCAGCAGATCCTTGGGATACTATTGCCATCTATCTATTTTTTCTGGTGAGATATGTGAACTAACATCTTAACTAACATCTTAACAATATTGAGTCTTTCTATGTGTGATCATGGAATATCTTTTGTTTAGGTCTTTGGTTGATTTCTTTCATCAGAGTTTGTACTTTTCCTCATATAGATCCTGTTCATATTTTGTTAGATCTATACCTAAGTATTTTATATTTTTTATGCTATTGCAAATGGTGTTGTTTTAAATTTGAAATTCCAGCTCATGGCAGGTATATAGGAAAGCAATTGACTTTTCTATATTAATCTTGTGTCCTGAGACCTTGCTACAATTGCTTATTAGTTCCAAGAGGCTTTGTTGCTGATTCTTTGGGATTTTCTACTTAGACAACTATGGCATCTACAAAAATTAGTTTTTTACAGTTTAAGAGTTGGATCAATGTAATGAGACGTGTCGATTTAACTGATAACCAGTCCTTGAAGCCCTAAATAGCAAATGAAAAACCTTTCCAAATGTTCATCAGATGGGTGAAATTGTCTGACATGTCCCTTCTTTTACTCCACTCTCTTCTCCCCGTACTCACACAGAAGCGGCATGACCCTTGGGAAATTCAGCATTATATTTCTTTGTGGGATTTGGGAAATTCAAGATGATATTGAACACTGTAGCATCACAGTCCCTGATTTTGTACATTGACAAGAAAAAAAATACACACTAAATGGTAATTGCTCCATTTTATATTTCATGACTTTTTGACATTTTCTGCATTAAATGATACCACTAAATTATTCTGAATCACAATAATTTTTTTTATTTAATTTTATTATCTGGGCAGGGAATCAACTCATATTCATTCTGCAGCATTCATAAATAATTACATGTGTGTGAAACTGCAAAAAAAAATATGCTACTGGCAATTCAAAAAGAGTTTTATTCACCAGATTCATAGCACTTTTTTTTCCTTTTTCTGGAAATATAGAGCAGCTAATCTCATTGAAACACACAGCAGATGCCATGATACTATTCAGACAAAGCAAAACATGGCTACTTTTCTTAAGGAGATTAAGTCATAAGATATGGACGAACACGTGAACTAGTCAATCCAAGTGATAGAGCCGTGATCATCTCAAGAAAGTTATCGTCTGTAAATATGAGGTGATATATTTGAGGGAAGGAGAAAGTCACAAAGAATTATTCTTGCCAACATGACCAGTAGAGAAGATGTGGTCACTTATTCACTCAGTACACGGCATGTACTGGATGCTTTGCAGATGTTACTGTGTTTGTATCAGGGAGACCATAATACTAACGCCTACGAAGTGCTTGTTAGGTTCCCGGCATCCGTTGATTTAACCCTCATGATGTCCCTATCAGAGAGGTATTCTTCTTACCTTCATTCCAGAGGAAGAACCTGAGGCTCAGCACTGCCCCGTTTGTACGTGTAAGAAGTATTTAAGCCTCTGCAACTAACCAGCACACTCCCCTGCCCCCCAACAGCCATCTCTTAGTTTATTCATCCAGAACACATTTATTTGCAGCCTGTTATGCTGATTCCATGCCCTGATAATAAAATTATGGCAAACCCTTTGGTGCAGTTGGGTGGCAGAAGATTGGGGATAATACAGTGATGGACTGGGGATAGACGCTTCTTTTATAAAGCTTACGTGTNGGGAAGGCACACGTGTGGAAATGCCTTGCACTTAACAAGTACAGTTACATTTACAGAAAGATGCAATCATGAAGCCCTGGCAAGCTTATGAAGCAATAAGTCGCTATATAACCAGATTTTAATGTCTCAGGGAACCACTGCTTTTCTATCCAGTGTATTACTTCCTGAAATGATATCATTTATAATCTCATTCCTTTCCAGTAGACAGTTGCCCATAATTGTGGAAGCTTTATCAAAAACAGATAGAAATCACTAATTAACAGGGCGTGAACTTTTTTATCAAGTGTTCTAACAGGATAAGAAGGTAGACCAATCAGTGTTTGAAGAGAATATGGGTTTGGGGCACTTAGAAGATACTGCAAAGATAAGGAGTCTCAAATTTAAATGTCACCTCAGTCACAGTCCTGCGAAGGGTAAGCCTGGAGAGAAACCAGGAATGCTGCATCTAGGAAGCAGCTGGACACTTGGATGACTGTCAAGTTTTACAACCTTCACGAGTTTTACAACTGTACAAGTTATATAATCACATGCCAGAGATCATAAAATTTCAAAAACACCATAACTGTTTTACCTGTACTTAGTTTACCTGCAGGTGTTCACTATAGGTCAAAATTGGATACACAGTATTTATGCCCTAGAGTGTTTTCAGAAGCAAAAAGGATCTATCGTCATCATACGTGTGTTCTGCACTTCCCCAAAGGGTAATTTCTAAACAAAAACAAATGAAGGAAAGCTAAACACTAAAATACTGACGACCTACTATGGTTGTTACATAACGTTGAATTTTAGGGTCCTTCCCACTCTGTCCAAAAACCGAGAGGCGTGTGGACAATTAATTATTAGACATCAGTGGACAGGCCCCCTGAAATCAGCTTAGATAATGGGACTTAACATTTAGCTCATTCTTACTGACTGTTGCCTTTAGTTTCTTTTAGGTATATCTTTGGAATTCCTCCCCTGATCCTTGTTCTGTTGCCGGTAGCATCACCTGATTGTGAGGTTGAAGGTAAAAATGGTGAAGAGTATCGGAACGTTCTGCTGGTCAGCCTTGATAAGTCGATGGTACGTGCCGGTTTTCTTTTTCTCACACTTGAACTCATGGGGTAAATTTGAAAGACGCTGTCGTTGAGCAATTTTACATTCCTGTATCTATTTGTATGCCTTGAAAGAAAGTGAAATAACAAAAGAAGAAAACTTAATGAGCTATTAACTATATACTTTCATTGTTGGCATCATTACATCCTTGAAAAATAATTATTTCCCGGACCTTCGGACTCCTACAACTCTCCATCTCAGCCCTAGTTCCCTTGACTGTCAAATGCCTTGAACTCATAATTTAGCATAACTCTCTGAATTTCCTCACTTCCCATTGACAGTTAGTCCCTGTAAAAGCATTATATTAGGAGAGGGAAAGTAATAGAATATAACATTTATAAATTACCCTGAAAGGAGATGTATAGG